ATAAATACAGTTATTATACATAGTGTAAATTACCTAGGATAACCCAAAAATTCCAGGCAAAGATAGACAGACAGACAAACATGTTTATGTGTATCAGTGAAAACAAATAAAGCCAGGGTTCCCCAAGTGCCCATTTATCAAATGTCACTGAGCTGTCAACAGATGTCATAACACCATTCTTCAAGGAGTGGACCCACGGTTATCGGCCGTAATCCATTCCAGAAGGTCAGCCGATAACTGAAATGGCCGAAAACCGAATTAATATATCTCATAAGAATTAGTGAAAATACAATTAATCCGTTCCAAACAAAAATATTCACAAAAAAAAAATATTTTTTTAACAATTATATAAGTATTAAATACCTTTTTTGAAGACTAATGCTGGCTTCTGGAAGATATGAAAGAGGAAAGAGGGAGGAGGTAGTGTTTGGAAGGGGAATCCCCCTCCATAAAGACTTTAGGTAGCAAAGCCTTCTCTAGGGTTACTTCCCTTCTTTGTCTTTTAATGCCACTAGGACCAGCTTGAGAATCACTGGACCCCTGTCTCACAAAAATAACTGTCCAGAGTGCTCTGTTTCTGGCATCTCTTTAAGATTTCCCTGAAGTGGGACAGGGTTTCGTCACTAAACATGTTGCAGAGTTCAAAGTCCTGGAAGTTACTCCCTCCCAAGCCTTACCTTCAAGGCTTATGCAATGGAGGATAGTGAAGTGATTCCTTCAGAATTGTCGTAGGGTCAACTGAGTGTCCGATGTCACTTCAAAGCTCTTTTGAAACACTGCTTTTGTGTACAGTTTTTTGAAGTTAGAAATGACCTGCTGGTCCATGGGCTGGAGGAGAGAAGTGGTGTTAGGAGGCAAGAACTTCACTGTGATGAAAGTGAAGTCCCTAAACACTTGGTCTTGCAAGTCTGGAGGATGTGCAGGAGCATTGTCCAGTAACAGGAGGCACTTGAGTGGCAATCTCTTTTCCAGGAGGTATTTTTTCACACTTGGGCCAAACACATCATTAACCCACTCTTTGAAAATTTGCCTTGTGACCCATGCCTTATGATTAGCTTTCCATATCACACACAATCTATTCTTCATGACATTATTTTTCTTAAACACTCTGGGATTTTCTGAGTGATACACGAGTAAAGGCTTCACTTTGAAATCCCCACTAGCATTACCACACAACAAAAGAGTATGCCTGTCTTTCATAGGCTTGTATCCTGGCAGTGCCTTTTCCTCCTGGGTAATGTAGGTCCTGTTTGGCATTTTCTTCCAAAACATGCCTGTTTCGTCACAATTAAACACTTGGAGTTTGAATCCTTCAGCCTCTATGTACCCTTGGAATTCCTGCATGAATTTTTCAGCCGCACATTTGTCAGAACTTGCAGCCTCACCATGCCTTACAACACTGTGTATGCCACTACGCTTCTTAAATCTATCAAACCATCCTTTACTGGCCATAAATTCACAAACTGCAGCACTTGTTCCAGGCATTTTCTTTGCAAGATCCTCATGCAACTGCCTTGCCTTCTCACAAATAACAGACTCTACAACACTGTCTCCCACTAATTCTTTTTCCTTAATCGACAATAATAATTTTTCCGTCTCTTCCATTATTTGTGGCCTTTGTTTAGTTAGAAAAGTTACTCCTTTTGCAACATTATCATCTTTGATTTGTTCTTTCTTTGCCAGGATGGATGCAATTGTTGATTTATTCTTGCTGTACATCCTGGCAAGTTCCACCACCTTCATACCACTCTCAGACTTTTCTATCACTTCACGCTTAACTTCCATGGTGTTTCTCGTTTTTTTACCACAGGAACTTTCTTTGGAGCCATGGTTACTTATTTCACAGTTGCACTGCAAAAAAAAAAAACACTAAAAACAATGGAAAACAAGCGAAATGTTTGGATGTATGAGCAGAAGCTTCCTCAGCCACCAAGAGACAAAGGCAAACTGACGCGCAAGCAGTCCCAGCCAGTGGATGGACGCATCCCAAACAGCCGATCACCGAATTAACTGCCGAAAACCGGGCACCGAAAAACCGGCCGATGACCGAGTTGGCTAATAACAGAACTGGCCAATAACCGGGGGTCCACTATACTATACTCCAGAAAGACAGATAAACAGAGACAGACAGACAGACATGTTTGTGTGTAACAGTGATAACAAATACAGCGAGGGTTAGCTAAACATATGAGTGAGCGTGGGTGGGTGTGCGTTGGACCTGACTAGCTTGTGCTACAAGGTCTGATGTCGTGCTCCTTCCTTCAGTGGATGTGACCTGACTAGGTGGGTCATTGGTCTAAGCTGGGGGGGGAGATGGACCTGCCTTGCATGGGCCAGTAGGCCTGCTGCAGTGTTCCTTCTTTCTTATGTATTCGGCAGGCTGGCCGCCTGGCTGGCTTTGGCTGTCTGTCTGTTTATACTATCTCTGTATCTGTCTATATCTCTGTCTATCTGTGTGTGTCTCACATGTACACATAAGTACAGTTATTATACATAGTGTAAATTACCTAGGATAACCCAAAAATTCCAGGTGAAGATAGACAGACAGACATAAATAGACAGACAGACAGATAAATAGACAGAGACAAGACATGTTTGTATGTAACAGTGATAACAAATACAGCAAGGGTTAGCTGGAGCAATGGGCATTATCAAATGTCACTGGGCTGTCAACAGTATAGGGATGCCTTTCATAACAACATGCTTCAAGGTATACGCCAGGGTATCTAAAACATTGCTGGGACCTATAAACACTTTGTATATATTTTTAGACAATAGTATATAATCCAGGCAGGTGTAAATGTTCACCTGTCAATGTGATTGTGAGTATTTGAGCACTATTTCAGTACCTAATATTAAAGTCAGAATAAAGATTTGCTATGAAATTACAAGAACTATTATAAATTGTAATTATTAGAACATAAAAGTTTATAAATTAAAATGAAAACGAGAAAAAAAGGTATATCGGCAACACTTTTTTTTATTTTTCAAAATATTCGGAGCGCCACACAAGTGAACATAGATCTACGTTTGGACAGTTTAACCCTTTCAGGGTCTGTGCCGTAGATCTACGGCTTTACGTTGAGGGTCCGAACCGTAGATCTACGCCACAAGCTCAGCTCACTCTGATAAGCTGTGAGTGGTAAATTTCTGCCTAGATATGAGAGAGTACATCCATTTGGTATGTGTGCACCACATAAAACAAATCCTGCAGCACACAGTACATAATGAGAGAAAAAAAAAAATGAGACCGTAATTTTTTATTAAAACAGCAACTTTGCAGTGTTTTATGTATGTTTTTTATAGTTTTATTTGCGATTTCTTGGTCTCATTTGATAGAACGGAAGGTATATTACAGAAACAGAGATGATTTTGATTAGTTTTAGTATTGAAAATGGCTTGAAACTGAGTTCAAAGTAGCGGAAATGTTAAATTTTTGCCGATGTTCAAGAGTAAACAAATGACCTCACACGTCTAATACATGCCAGCTGGTGGGTCTAATATACGTTCACAAATGTGCTGATATTATTTATACAATTTTTAGAATGTTGCATGACAGTAAATCTTCTATTTTTTGGTTTGAATAAAAATTCATTATGTGAATTAAAAATCAAAATGGAATTCATTTGTAAAGCCTGAAAACGTAACTAATGAAGAGAGGAAATGTTAGTTTAGTGCTAGGAATGCCTGAATTGTTTATAATGGACCCTATTTTGAACTTTGCACTAAATTGGCCAAATTACCAACTTTCAATCACTTTATTTTGTAGTTGAAACAGCCGAGTTGGCTATTTCTTGTGCTCAATCGATAGAATAGAAGTAATACTAGTGAAATATCTAAGAATTTGATCGACTGGAATAAGGTAATTGGCCTAAAATGGGAGTCAAATTCGGCAAAATCGCCAATGCCTAAATATCGCCGACACATCAAAATTCGCGAGAGCATAATTTCGTCAGTTATCGATCAAATTTCGTACTTTTTGTTTTATTACCTTCAGAAAAAGATTCTCTACTATTTCATAAGAAAAAATAACAAAATTATTTTTTGAAAATTCTTGGACACTGGTGTGCACTTTGAAATTTGGCCTCTGGACCCTGACAGGGTTAAAATTAGAACACTGTTCCACAGTTTTCCCTTACTGTTAGGTTTCTCTTGATGAAATCTGGTAATAATGTAGTAGGCTAGCAGACAGCGACTACCAGAGAGCTACAGTACTTTTCCATTGAGTGTGAATCAGAATCCTGTTAAAGGTTTCTTCTCTGGCAGCATTAATGGTACTGTACAGTAATCCCTAGATAAAAGAAGTAATGGAGAGGGGGTTTGTCCAAGTGTTCATTAAATCTGTATATCTGTTTAGCACTGTATACACAATTTACAGATCTTCTTCTTTCAACAAACTGGCCATATCCCACCGAAGCAGTGTGGCCCAAAAAGAAAAAGAAAAAAATTCTCTTTGCCACTTTAGTAATGTATACAGGATAAGGGGTTACTAGCCCTTTGCTCCTGGCATTTTAGTCGCCTCTTACGACACACATGGCTTACGGAGGAAGAATTCTGTTTCACTTCCCCATGGAGATAAGAGGAAATAAACAAGAACAAGAACTAGTAAGAAAATAAAAGAAAACCCAGAGAGGTGTATATATATATACGCTTGTATATGAATGTGTAGTGTGACCTAAATGTAAGCAGAAGTAACAAGACATACCTGAAATCTACAATTTACAGATATTCTGCAATAAACATTGAAAATAAAGGAGTTAAAAGTACAAATTAACCAGTGTGACCTAAATGTAAGTAGCAGTAGCAAGATGTACCTGATATTTTGCATATATGGTCTTCAGTTATGTTGTAAAAAACACATTTGAATCTCAGAGGTCATTTTAGGTAAATTTTTTGTTTTGTTTTATAATAATTATTTATGATACAAATTCTTCATGGAATGTATTGCCATCCATAAATATTAATCCCATTTACTTAAATTTTAAACTTTCACTTTTCAGTATGACCACAAAGGGCACAATTTTCTCCATGTTGCCATTCAGAAGAAGGACATGGAGAGTGTGTTGTTTCTGCTGAGCATCCATGTTGACATGCACACCCGCACCCAGGACCAGCTCTCTCTTACACCCCTTCATCTTGCTACTCTCTCAGGGTAAGGTTGAAGGCCATCCCTTCTTTTATAATAACATTGTTTGCAGAAGCTGTTTGCAGTATAATACTCACTACATATTATGTATGCATAACTTTATTGTTGTTTTAGGAAGAAAAGATGAGGAATAAAAACAAGGTTAAAAAGCACATTACAAAAAAATTCTTTACAAATTAGAGGAGAAGGGTGTTGAATGGAATCCAAGAGGAGTTGGCAAGTGTCATAACCATTGCAGACTTGAAACAGCTAATACATATATGACAAACTAAACACTCAAAATAAGACATAGCTCTCCTCCTGTAACTATATACAAGTAATGGCATGGAGAAAGTATACTTATAAATAACATGATGAAAGACAAAGGATTTAATTTAACCCTTTCAGTGGCCATCACATACAATTATGTCACTGAGGCCAGGGTCCTTCACGTAGCTTTAAATCATGCTCAGGTTGCTTATATAAGTTCTTTTCTTCTTTCTTTCAACACACTGGCCGTATCCCACCGAGGCGGGGTGGCCCAAAAGGAAAAACGAAAGTTTCTCCTTTTTTTTTTTTTTTTCAACAAACCGGCCGTATCCCACCACGGCAGGGTGGCCCAAAAAGAAAAACGAAAGTTTCTCTTTTTAAATTTAGTAATTTATACAGGAGAAGGGGTTACTAGCCCCTTTCTCCCAGCATTTTAGTCGCCTCTTACAACACGCATGGCTTATGGAGGAAGAATTCTGTTCCACTTCCCCATGGAGATAAGAGGAAATAAACAAGAATAAGAACTAGAAAGAAAATAGAAGAAAACCCAGAGGGGTGTGTATATATGTGCTTGTACATGTATGTGTAGTGTGACCTAAGTGTAAGTAGAAGTAGCAAGACGTACCTGAAATCTTGCATGTTCATGAGACAGAAAAAAGGACACCAGCAATCCTACCATCATGTAAAACAATTACAGGCTTTCGTTTTACACTCACTTGGCAGGACGGTAGTAGCAACCGCCCAGGGAGGTACTACCGTCCTGCCAAGTGAGTGTAAAACGAAAGCCTGTAATTGTTTTACATGATGGTAGGATTGCTGGTGTCCTTTTTTCTGTCTCATGAACATGCAAGATTTCAGGTACGTCTTGCTACTTCTACTTACACTTAGGTCACACTACACATACATGTACAAGCACATATATACACACCCCTCTGGGTTTTCTTCTATTTTCTTTCTAGTTCTTATTCTTGTTTATTTCCTCTTATCTCCATGGGGAAGTGGAACAGAATTCTTCCTCCGTAAGCCATGCGTGTTGTAAGAGGCAACTAAAATGCCGGGAGCAAGGGGCTAGTAACCTCTTCTCCTGTATATATTACTAAATGTAAAAGGAGAAACTTTCGTTTTTCCTTTTGGGCCACCCCGCCTCGGTGGGATACGGCCGGTGTGTTGAAAGAAGAAGAAAGACATGTATGTGTAGTGTGACCTAAGTTTAAGCAGAAGTAGCAAGATGTACCTGAAATCTTGCATGTTTATGAGACAGAAAAAAGACACCAGCAATCCTACCATCATGTAAAACAATTATACAGGTTTCCGTTTTACACTCACTTGGCAGGACGGTAGTACCTCCCTGGACGGTTGCTGTCTACCAACCTACTACCTACAACTTATATAAGTTGTGAGCAGTAAATTTTGGTCTAGACATGAGAGAATGGGTTTGTGCAATGAGTGTGCACAGTATAAAAAGATGTTGCTCCATGCAGAGCATAATGAGAAAAGCAAAACTATGACCTTGTGTTTGGTTTAAAATAACTTTGTGGTATTTAACAGGATAGTTTGTATGGTTTTATTGGCTGTTTCTTGATACCATTTATTACTGATATAGGGATGCTTTTGGTGTGTTTTAGGACAAGAAGTAGCTGGAAATTGAGCTCAAAGTAGTGAAATATTTGATTATTTTAAATTTTCCTTTTTAATGTTTTTTTTTTAATAGGTCTGATTTATTTATTGGGACACCATAAACCATGACCAGTCATTCATTGTTATATTTTTTTTATTCAAGAAATAGAGTAACTCATAATTTTGTGATTGTGAAATCAAAGTGGATGGCAGGTGTAATATAGGAGAGGCTTGGGGATGTGATTAATGAACATAGGAAATGTTTTAGTGCCAGAAATGTCTACATTGTTCATTATGGGTGACTATTTTTAAATTGGTATTTTTGGAATTTTGTATAAAATTGGTCAAATTACCCAATAAATTTATCAGAATTCGAAAATTTGGCCAATTTCACACAAAATTAAAAAAGTGCCAATTTAAAAACAACATTTCCTCTGCTTATTAGTTGCATCCCCAGCCCGCTCCTATAATATACTTGCTTTCCACGTTGAATTCTTATTCACACAAAAGATAGACAATTTACTCTGTTTCTTGGGTAATAATATATAGCCAGGAAAGATTGTTCATTGTTTACAGCATCCCAATAATTGAATCAGACATAATAAAAACCCATAAAACAGACTGGTGGTTTTAAGAGGCTTTACCTGTCCTATGGGTTATCAACAAAAATTTAATATTTCCCCTACTTTGATCTCAGTTTCAAGCTATTTCCACTCCTGAATGCAATCAAAGTCATCTCTATTTTAGTAATATGTCTATTATTCTATCAAATTGTACCAAGAAACTGAGAATAAAACCATGAAAACTACAGTAGACCATCATTTAACATGGTAGTTATGTTCCTGAAAATGCTGTACTAGGTAAAACCGTGTAAAATGAACTGAAGAACTTATGGGAAAAATAGGGTTACATTCCTGAGAGCACCAAAAACCAAAATAAAACTTTTTTTTTAGGCCTCCACCTCTTACAAAAATAAAAGTGAATATGTAATTGTAGTTCATTGTTGTGATGTATTATGTCATTTTTATTGCTTAAGACTACAAATGTAACAGAAATAATAGTATTTCTTACCTTAAATTCTGGGTGCTGGTGTTTGTGGATGATTTTGAAGAGAGTGAGAGTTATGTTGTGGCCCTACTGGGCTGAGGTGGATGGTAGAGGTTCTGGTACTGAAGTTGATGTGTCTAACTTTAAGTCATTCAGTCAGTCATTCAGTCAAGTCAGTAAGTCAAGTCATTCAGTCAATCAGTCAAGTCATTTTAAGTCAGTCAAGTCATTCAATAAGTTAAGTCATTCAGTCAAGTCAGTAAGTCAAGTCATTCAGTCAATCAGTCAAGTCATTTTAGGTTAGTCAAGTCATTCAGTAAGTCAATCAAGTCATTCAGTCAGTCAAGTCATTCAGTCAATCGAGTCATTCAGTAAGTCAGCCAAGTTATTCAGTCAAGTAATTCAGTCAGTCAAGTCAGTCAGTCAGTCAAGTCAGTCAGTCAGTAAGTCAGTCAGTCAGTCAGTCAGTCAAGTCAGTAAACTATCATTTAAGTCAGTAAGTCATTCAGTAAGGCAGTCAGTCAGTCAGTCACACAAACTTGTGTTTACCTCTTTTTATGTGTACAAAGTAACACTTCATTACAACACAGGTTATCTCTTGTCTAATATCTGTTTTCTTTGTTAATTCTAAGACTTAAATGCTTATACTGTTTCTTGCCAGTTTCAGTAACATTGGTATGCCTACTGGGTGTCATGATTGTTTGGCAGATACAAGATATAGTAATTAATAGATCAAAACACAATTCACAGTCACAAGCTTGTAGCAGAGAAGAAAGACTGGATGCATATGAAGTACGAATGCTGGGATAGTGGGGTGGTGTTGGGGGATTGCAGGGGATGGTGGGAGGTCTCCCCCGCTGAACCACAGCAAGGTGGCCACTTGAGGAAAAGGGAATTTTTTTTACCCTCCCACAAACTGAGCCATGTTAAATTAATTTTATGATGACGTGTTACGTAAAATTCTGCCGCAATTCTTCAGTGGTGCTATACCCAAATCATGCCAAATAAACTCGTGCTGAATGATGGTTTACTGTATTACTAAACACTAGTTTAAAATAACACCATTACCTCTACACAGGTAGAGGGTTATTTTTTCCATTAACCTGTTACTAGTGTTGTAACATGGGAGAGTTCAGGATTACAAAAATAAACACTAAAATTTATAATCTTTACTAATAGAAATATTTTGTATGAAAATATAACAAGGAGTCTAACTCCTACTCTTATCTTTGGTGTAGCTACTTTATACAAAGTCATACACGATATACAAAGTCACATAAACAATCAATGTAAAAGTAATTCATCATATGTCACTGCCATCTTCAGGTGTCTTACAACACTACCAATCCCAGTGTTAAGACACTCCTTCATTGTGTCCTATGACACCACCTTGTCTCCATGTTATAACACACTTCTCTTATGTGTCACACGACACCCTGTTCTTCATGTCACATGCAACACCCATCTCTCTGTGTCACATGACACCCTTTGCTCCATGTTATAACACTCCTTGACTGTGGTACACCCACGACACTGCCTTGTCCCTGTGTTTTAACACTCAGTCTCTTTACGTCCTTTTCACCGCGTCATTTGACATTAACTCACTGGGTTACAACACCGACTTTTTTTTCTAAGAATACTTGTGTGTCACCTGTCACCTGACACTGACCGGGTTACCCAACCCTGAATTTCCGGGTCTGCGTCACCTGACATGCAATGCTCACCAGGTTACGCACAGCCTGGCTTCCCACGTGTCCTTGTCATGACACACAATGCTCACCAGGTTACAACACCCTGGCTTTCCACTCTACTTCTGTCTGTGTCACCTGACACAGAACACTCACCAGGTTACAACACCCTGGCTTCCCACATGTCTGTCCTCTGACACAGAGACCCACAGGTCCCTGAGGTCTGCTACAGAAGCCTAAGACAGCAGGTGTCCACTGCGTGAGGCAGTCTGGTGAACACACTCAACTGCCAGTAGATGTACACCGTAAGGCAATCTGGTGAACACTCTCAGAGGCCAGTCACCAGCAGGTGTATTCCATGAGAGTCTGGTGAACACTGTCAAGGTCAGTAGATGTCACCATCAG